TTTTAAGCGGGGAAGCTGGGAAGCTCCAAGGTAGAGTGAAAGCGAAAGCAAAATGCACTCTACTCTGCCAAAATTGGGACTACTGTAGGTAGCAAGAACTGTTACCCTCGTCTTATATAACGCAGGACTGGGTTCAGGGAGTTATTTATTTATTTATTTATTTGCATGTACAAAAGTACATGGAAAAAGTGTTGCACTTCGCAAGCAACAGATCTTGCATAACCAAAATCACGAGCAAGGTCTGCACATTCAATGTGATAATTAACCACTGCTATGATTCCCACAGAGTTATGTGTATACAGATGCCCTTCGAGAAAATGAAACCGCGACGCAAAAAAAATCTGTGGGAATCTGTAATGAGCAGTTTTTCGGCCACTGCTCGTAGTTTTGTGAAATAAAAACAGGCAGAGCGCGCGTGTTTTCTTCAACGAGAACGAGGGACTGTGCAAATATTTGGCGACACCACTCGCTCTCATAAAACTCCTCTTATTTTTGTTGAAACCCTCTGAAGATTACACGAATTTAAAGACACACGCTATGATTGCACCTTTTATCTGCGAATAGAACGTGAACTGTAGTTATTAGCTCTCATCAGATCATCAAATTAGACGTGAAAGAATACCATCTGAGTTTGATTTCTAGGCGCATGACGTTTTATCGGACGTTCCGGTAAACTGTGCTCCGTTGGGGCAGAGAGCATTAGATTTCCGTCTTCGAAAGATACTTACATAAGGACATTCCAGATTAATCTGAAAAAAGTGCGCCGCACGTCAGGGAGACTTTCCCATGATTATCGACCTCAATCTCACAGAGCAGTTCCTCTATTTTACATCACAGTTTTTAGCTATTATTTTATTCTTTAATTGCTATCACTGTAATTTTTATCAACCTGCAAAAAATAACCCAGAACATGTTTGTTCACAGTCTGCTTACAATTGCCTGATCACAGTAAAAGTGAGGTAGTAAGAAGCCTGCGAAAAGATTCCAAAAGAGAACTCAAATTAGGATACTTCTTTTTCGACTTCTGAGAAAGCTCTAAAAAGCTCAATCTTCCTCATCTCAGAAATAAATATTTTTCCTGTGTGAACTGTAATCCAACGCCTGTGCAACTGTCGGGAAGCCGCTCATAAATAGCTCACTTTGGACAATCGGCAATCGGCGGTCATTTCCACACAGCACTAGCCAATAAGGTGAGATCAAATTCATACAAGTACCGTATCGTATTCGAACTAGGACCCTCATCCCTACACTATGTCGACCTTCGCAGCAGATACTTGCAGATGGTTGCAAAAGAAAAAGTTATGTTTCCGGGAGAAAATTATTTTGGACTTGTGCACAAACAGTTGAGCTTTTCGTTATTCACAGTACATTGCATTGTTTAATTGTGTAAGCTAATCAGGCAGCACTTAACATAACCCAGTGAACGAGGCACGACCAACTGCAATGAGGTTATCTCACAGTTGTTTTTCAAAAAGGGGTACAATCAAAGATGGAGTCATAGACCATTATCTGTAACAGTCGCCGTATCAAACAGACTATAAAAGCAGAATTTCGAACAGTGGGTAGCGTTGCCTTTAAGAGTTCTCCAGTTGGTCAGGCACAACTGTTGAGTGCAAAAAAGCTTAATACTCAGTTTATATGAGGTGCCAATCGCAGACTTTACAACTTGCGATCAGTTGCCGCGACTGCAGAAATAACCATGTATACTCCATATCTCGAAGTCAGATTAGGCGTGTCTATGGGTTTGACGTGGCGGCCGCCGCACTTGATGGAAGTTGCGCGGATAAGCTGCTTCCAGCATGCTCTGCTGATATCCAATGGAGTACGTTAGAAACAGCCTATCCTCACGGCTTCTATCAAGTGCGGCAAAGGCCACGTCAAATCCATAGCCACGCCTAATCTGACTTCGAGATTTCGACTGTAACCCAGAATTCCAACAATTTCGCCAACATAACACCACAATTCAACAGTTGAAAAGGTGCAGCGGCATAGTAGGAAGTTTTATGCGACAATAGGTGCCAGCTGTGCGAGACTTTGTGATTTAAATGCTCACTGAATAGGTGATGAAGTGGCCCCGTTGGTGGAGATGGTTCCGCTAAGACTCCAAGTGAGGCGTGAGAGAGGTGGTCTCCTCTTCGTGAGTCAGGGTGGTCGTCGTAACGATAGGTGGCCGTATTAGCGAAGTAACAGTGATATATAACTCTAGCCGTGCCTTGCAGTCCAGAGCGTTGTCACATCAAATGGGTCCAGCTCAATAAGTACCAGGGCTATTAAAAAACATAGTTCTATATCTCGGGTCACAAGTACCACTAAACAAGGCATGAAAGGATGAATCTGTAGTTGGCGCCACTTCAGAACGCTAACTATGATTCTGTGTCTGTGTATGATGAACTCATACATTCATAGATGGTCTGCCAGAGGAGTTGCACTTCTTAAAAATATGCCGATCTGGAACAAGCTGAGATCACAACATTCAGCCGTCCGCTGAGTAGGACCATGGATTTTCCTGGTTTTGAATTTCCTTGCTATCGTTTCTGCCTTGACATATGTCGTACACAGCTTGAATGTTTTTTCCTCCAATAGCTCGTGAATAACTTTTACGAGCTACTGGAGCTCTGCGACCTCTCAAGCATGTAAAGCCGTGGAGAGAGACGCGTCCCAGAGGGAATACGGGTACTGTAAGAACGTCTCCAGCCGGCATCAATAGTGGAAATAGTAGCAAATCACTGTCATCGAAAAAAAAACTTAACAAAAAAAGCTCACCTCGCCACCGAACGAGGAAATTAGTAAAGCGAACCACAATAAAGCCTTGTTCACTAATACTATATAAAAGGTTGGCCACACCAGGGAGCAAGTGCCAATTTTCCAGGAGGGGGGGGGGACGGGCGGAAACCTTTTTGAATTTTCTTTGTCTTCCCAACCAAAACTGCCCTAAGAAAGTACCTATGTAAAGTATCTATGTGTATAGTAGGGAACATGTTAGGGGGGGGGGGTAAGAGGGCTATTTCACAAGAGGTTAGGTGGTCGCAGTTCTTGCTTCAATCAAAAATTAGGTCAACTTATAGGGATTTCGGTCTTCAACCTCGAAGTAAAGATAGCATACGGCTCCAGATAACAAACGTGTTGGAAACCGTATTCCTTTTTTAGCAACATTTTCACGAAACGTTAATTAAAGCTGTAATTGCGACCACGCCAAGACTTGACGCTATCGTGCCTCTAAATTGAAACAGCGAGAAAAACCCACGCCATGACCTTGTTGGAGCGCGCTCGCGATGGAACTACAAGCGCACCGGAGAACACTGCACCCAGCACAAATTGAGTCGTGAAAGAAATTGAACCTAAAATGCTAAGCAAAGACTCCCTTGTGAATTTTGAGAAGAAGCAAATGCAGTTGAAGACAACTCGCCTGCTGGAAGCCAAACAGGTCAAACTCCCACTAATACGCCTGGAAAAGCGAAAATTAGTAATCGCCAAAACGCGCTCCAGTCGTTATACTGACGTGTGCAGCGCGCATGCAATGTCGTACGCGGGCGTGTTCCAGCTCTACCCTTTTCCCTGTGCAGCCTTAAAACCCGTGGGAACTCTTGCGTAGAGTCTTGTGGCTGACACGCAGTTGTCCCTATATATCATTCATTATTGTCCTTCAAGTAAGCAGTGTTGAGGCGTTCAGCATTTTCGATATGTCTGATATATTTCAAAGTAGAATCGCTACAATTTCCATTCCGTTAGACGATTTTAACGGTTTCAACGATTCCTCATGTGTAGCAGTTTTTGTCAAATTCAGAATCCGTCGCTGCAAAAAGTTTGGTATCGAGGTCACCTCTTATCGGTTCTCGTCGCGACACGTCTATCTTCTGTCACCTCGGAGAATCCGTTCAATCGATTTCTATCAACACCGTTACATGCGGGAGCATCTTGACCACAACCCTCTCATCTTATCTTGATGGCTTTCCTTTTTGGACCTTTCCAAATATATAACTTCCTGCTGCTTCAACAATATTTTCTATTGAACTCGATCCGAGACTCATCGAACTAGATTACTCTTTTAGCATGTACATTGACGCGTCATCACTGATTTTTGTACTCTGGACATTACTTGATCTCCTTACCTGCCCTCTTTTATTTGATCGTGCAATTCGACGTTTTTTTGCTGTCAACATAATAATTGTCTTTTCCATTAGTGTTCGTTTCACGGTGCTCGTTCTGCTTTAGTTGGGCTGACTTCAGTGTATGTCGCTCTTCTGGGAGCATGCCGTATCGAATTCAACCACTGCACAGGTACATTTCAGTTTAAGTGAAGCCCTCCTACGTTGTACCTCGTCACCCCAAGCTTTTCTTCCTTTAGGGTTTACTCAGGGGATGACAGTAGCGGTGATGCGGTTTAGAGCGTTCAACGTGTTTAAAACCACATATGGCATATTCTCCCAGTGTTAAGGCGTAGGACTAAGTCTTGAAGTGAGGGAAAACCAGGTCTGACAAATCTTGTTTCCTCCATGGGATTCCTACTCTTCCTGGGCTCAGTCCAAGCCGCTCACTAGGTAAATATTACTTTTCGTAGACGTTTATGTCATAAAACACAAGAACACATACATTACACAAAACCAGAAGAAACAACGTAGGAAAAAAGCTGATAGCAGCTCGTAACTTTAAAGGACTCCTTGAGCCAAATGGCATTAGAGCAGACTGTGCACCGCAATGCCCCTCTTACCGGAATAGACCCTCGATTTACCCCACCACTTCAAAACTCGCAGAGTTCATCGCATGCAGTTTTAATTGGAGGAGGCTGAAGAGGCAATATAGATGGAAACAGTCCATTTTATATTTTTCGAGCGTTTGTTCGTACAACTTGGGAACCTTGGTCACGTGGATGATTTGGTTAAATTAAACCTACGACTGACTTTGCTTTGTGATCTCGAATCTTTTTTCTCTGAAGAAAGGAATATTTTTGCGCATTCTTTACTCACCATTTTATCTCCTGAGCAAAGATCCCATAGAGTTCCAACTTTGGCGTGATCTTACGAACTTAAGTTCTTCAATGGTTTCCCTTTAGAATGTAGACCATTCTGGGTTGGGCGGGTCGGCGGGCGGACAACAAGGACATACGAGCGGAAACTGGGATTGTATCAATCTCGGTAACACAATTTCGCAGCAAAACCCCTACAGTTGGAGTCAACATGTTGGTGCACATGTGGTTAGTTTTTTTCTGGAATTGGGCCTATTGTTTTAACGGAGTTGTCGAAGTTGCTTTTATAGGATACAAATCACTCGACGCCATCCAATTACGTCGATCCGTATAGTGCTGCTGTAATGGGTGCGTATCAGCAAGGAACACAAAACGTCGTTTATCCATATCAACAACACGATGGTTAGCGTGTTCCAGTTCCTCAATCATATTTATTCCTGCTTTTAGTGATTTCTGAATTTATAATCATCCTTGTATTTCAAAAACATTTAGCAGCGCGATGTCTCTGTGGAAAAGTCCTTTTTATACTTTGAGGATATATGCCTCCCTTTTCTTCCCCTGGACAATGTAAGCTTCACGCTTCATCTGAAGAGGTGGAGTAATGGCAAGTGACGACGCGTACGTCCTAGATTGTCCGGGAATCAAATCCCGAATCGCATGCCGTCCAGTGGCAACCGAAGATTCTATCCCTCCGGGGTCATTTATTGTTATCAATTTGGTGAGAGCAAAGAGTCTTGCTATCGGGCTGGCATACGCTATTGTATAGGCCACCACATTAATATGGGGCATGGGTCCCTATTCCAGGAGTAGACTTCGCTTTTCGCAGCGCGGAACTTTTTTTCGCTGCGGGAACCCAGATCAATCAATGCTCGGTACAGAGTTGTCGCATGTATTCCGCGCTGCGAATTACGAAAAGTCGATTCCGGTTCTAGCGACCCATACATGCTAGTACGATTCTTAATGGGAGTAGAATCCATGGCGCGTCCCACAAAAAGGTTGTGCTTTATTCTTTTCACGCCACAAGACTGTATTTTCACATATGTTTTGAACACATATGTGCTTTTTAGAGGAAAGCCCATAGCCCCGTCACCCTTTCCCCCCATTTGAATGGTGTCCTCTTCATCATTCACCACACGTCGTGCAGTACCACAACCCACTTTGCGTTTCTTACTCCTTCACTTCTCCCTCAACTTTTCCCAAGCATCCTTTCAAAGCGACCTCTCGTCTATTAGGCTTTCTTACGCTTCCACCAATGAAGAGTTGATAGGGCGCTATGTTTTCGTCATGGGTTTCCTGCTTTAATGACTACATTTTCAGCATCCTCTGCAAACCATGCACAACCAAGCACGCCTCAGGGAAGCATTCCTCAACACATGACAGCAGAGCAGGTCTATCCTGTTCAAGTTTACTTTTCGAAGTTACGTTGGTCATTGCTTGCTTGCATTGCTATCTTTTAGGGCTATTACTACCATCATCAGAACTCACCGCAACAATACCAACAGCATCCTCAACAGTCACAGACGCAGCATCTCCATTATCAACATCAACAGCAACAAAAGCAACCTGCAGCTTTGAATGCCCAGTCAGTGGCATCACAACATGTTCATCATACTTTGATTCCAACACGGCAGCATGTTCAGCAATCGAATCATCAACCGAAACCAGTTGAGGTATATAGGCTTACCGGAGTTGTTTTTGTTCTCAGAGATTCGGTTTTCAACAAGGCTAAGGAAGTTACCTTTTATATTGAGTTCTGTTTTTCTTTGCATTTCAAGCCAATTTTCTGGGTTGAGCTTAATATGCACGTTATGTCAGAGGTCAGATTCCTTTGGTGTGCAGTGTTTTCTTTTGGTTTTCGCATGCTTGTAGTTTTGTTCCAGAGGTAGAAGCTTGTATAACCATCGTTGGAAAAACAGTCACCTTTGCAGTGGAGCAGTTCATGTGATTTTTGACAACTCACTGACACATAACAATCTTTCTTTCATATATCAGTGTTAAAGTTGATCGCTTGCTCAAACTTACATTACGTTATGCTTGGGAAGCTGTCGCCTGATCCGGATTGCTCGTTTGTGCGATCGGTCCAAGTTACACTAGGGAGCTAACGCTCACTTATGTTCGAGGGATTATGTGGGAGTTGAAGAATTAAGCACGAATGTGGGGAAGGTAACCCGGGTGAAGAAATAGCTTTTTGTGCTTTTCTACGTTAATCAGTTTGCCTAAAAGATGTCACCAGCCTGCATGTGTCGATGGCATAGCAGAGAACTCAGAGCTTAACAAAAAATAGCTTTTCACCCCTTCAGTCGCGGCATCTGTAACCTGCAGAAGAAACCTTTGATAGTTGAGCTTATAGCACTGAGCACAGAAAAGTATGAATTGAAATGACCTCCATGTGCCGGAAATGGAGGGTGTAGGAATAAAGGACCTGGATTAACACTGGTCAAGTAGATGTTAATCACACATTCATAAGCAACGAAATCAATAAGTTGCTTGCGATGGTTAGGCTAATAGAACGTCCGTCCACACGCTCAGTATTCATTTAGTACACGTGCGCAGAGGTCTGTGATTCGTAATGCTGCCATTGAGGTTTCCAGAATCAAGTCAAAAATTCTATCAGGTTTTCTAGTATAGATCATCAAGTCACAAGAAACGTTAATTAACAGCATGGCTCACTATTTTCATAAATGTCTAATTTACTCTCTCGCGACGTAGTTGCGTCGGGTGCCGCTAATTGTCTGCAGCACATTCGCACGACTACTGTAGGTGACCCTAGCGGATGCTTTAGAAAATCAGCATTATTAGGTTGGGTGATCCATCTATCGATTGAATTTACCTGATTTCCCATTGTTTTAGCAGCAGAGTGTAACTTCGCAGCCGTATGCACCAGCCTGTTCTGAGCCGCAGTCCGTACCTTTGGCTGTTATTTCACCTGCTGTTGCGTTACCCTCCACTGCTCCTCAACAGAACCCGCAGTCCACAGTGCAACCATTCAACTCGCGATCAAACCATACTGAAGCCGATATTCAGCAACAACAGCAACAGCAATATCAACAACAGACCGAGAGAGCGAACAATCCTCTTGTGGAGGAGTTGGGTGCTGATCGCTTAGCGAACGATGATACGTCTCGTCAATCACCGTTGTCATACATGGCAGGTTCATTCTGTGCTATCTGTGCAGTCCCCGTCTGCTTTACCAGTGTGCGATGCAAGCACCGTTGCGCCGACCAGCGATTCTGCTCAGGTCACGCCAGAATCGTCCTACTCGGTGGACACATTCGGCTCCGGGATTTCATCCGTTGATAATCCAGAGCAACAGCAGTTTGTGAATTCTTCGTCAGGTGGTGTTCAGATGCCTCAAACGGTCACACAATCCGAAGACAACTGGGAGGACGATTGGGAGCGCACTGAACATCCGGGAAGAGGCGTCGCGAGAGAGGTATCTCATCCAAGCTTCTTTTTATCTTTGATACAACACTTTCTCATGCATGTCCTGTGTTAGTATGTATGACACATATGACACACATTGCTGTAATGTTGTCGTAGTAAAGCTAGAATGTTCTGATCAAATGCGTTATGAAATTTGGCAATGGATAATAGTAAATAAAACTGGGAAGGTGGTACGATGGCTAATCTGAATTTTGGTGTTCAGGTGACTCCAAGCGATGTGGGAAGTCAAACGCAATCCGAACCACCCGGCTATTCATCAGGCTTCCCTGATACACCGTGTACGTTGCTATCAACTTTTATTTCGTTACTTACCAGGGAAGGCATTCAACTTCCCATGGAACTTTGAATGAGACCCAGATATATCGATAGAGCTTCAAACGCTGATTACAAATATGGAAACTAAAACTGCAAAATGAACCTGCCAAGGAAGTTGTGAGCAGTCAAAGTTGGCTGGAAGTAAAGCATTACACTAGCCTCCGGGCTTTCAAAGTCGCCGTGGAGTAGTGGTAGTGCTCTCGGAATTTGCGCTCCGACGGGAGGAGAGCTTATGACCTCCAGGGTGAATAGCGAGGGCACCACCACTGCTCCGCGGCGACTCTGAAAGCCCGGAGGCTAGTGTAATGCTTTACTTCCAGCCAACTTTGACTGCTCACAACTTCCTTGGCAGGTTCATTTTGCAGTTTTAGTTTCCATATTTGTAATCAGCGTTTGAAGCTCTATCGATATATCTGGGTCTCATCTCAAAGTTCCATGGGAAGTTGAATGCCTTTCCTGGTCAGTTCCTTTTTCACCACTCACAGTACGAATCCTATTGTTTTCGGAATCATGCCAAAAGATTTTATGTTTTGAACCACCCTTCCCTGGAATGTGGAAGGTTAGCTTCACATTATATGCAGAACTTTTTGACAAATAGAGGGACTGCGACATCGAACAGTCTTTCAACAAAAAAGGATTGATTTTTCCATTGCGTACAGATCTTCCCTATATCGATCAGCACCATCATAAATAATTCTGGGATTTTACATATCATTTCAGGTGCCACGCGAGAGGGTTCAATGGCGCCTCATGACTCAACACCACATCGTAGCGAAACCAACCAACGATATAGTACGTGTTGTTCCTGTTTCAGGAACGCCGTCGGCGGTAGTTGGAGTGCCAAGATATGGTGAGTCCTTTAAGTCTTTCGCAGATGTTTCCAACTGCATCGCTGAGTGCACTTGACTGTTGTTGTTCTACACTTGGAATTGTATAGTTTCATTCGAATTTGGTCTCCGTTTTGATTTTTCATGGTGAATAGTGGCGATTAGAATTTTTTTTGTTCTATCTATTCTTTGTTTCTTGACCCCTTCAGGCTAAACAGACGAACACTTTTGAAAGAGAATAGTGGGCGACAAAATAATTTCCTAACAGATTTGGACAGCTTTCACTTTCGATAATTCTTAACCGGAACCTTTTTGCCCTTCTTTGTCTAATCTGCACTGTATACTGCCTACTGACTAGTGACTTTGCAGCATTTCAAAAATTTCGTCTCTATCTTTCTCACCTTACTTTTTTTTTGCTTTTTTCGTTTTCTCGGTCGCACTTCTATTTTTGATGCGCTTGCTATCCTTTCTTTTTTGCAAATAATTGTATGGAATATGTGGAACCAGTAGAGGTTTCTTTTTCGCAAATCGTTACTCTGAGCGTCGTCGTTTTCACAAGCGCCATCTTCACTGATATTGAACTTGTTATCAGTGTACTCAAGATACATATTTCGTTATTTTGAATTGTGCCACAATCGTTTTCCAGAAGTAGTTCTCTAATACATGCTTACTACTCGTTCCGAGGCGTTTTCTTTGTAAACAGGGTTCTCGGCTGTAATTTCCAAGTCTAAAGCTCCAAGAATCGTCGCATTCGAGTCCTGCTTTCTTTCATTCCGTAACTTGCACATCAAGTTCGTAGCGCCTGCCAACATCATTTTTTGCTAAGCTGCAGATTCCTGCAAACTATCATCGTCATGCACATCGATAATTAATTTTTGAATTCCAGAGGATTCTAGTCGATCGCAGGACCATGTCCCCGCCGTCGCGCAGGTTGCTCCTCTGCGACCCGAGGTGAGGCATTCTTGGATATATTGCTCGCATATTTGCCAAGTAATAAGTTGTCATTTTCAGCCCGAATCAATCCATTCTGCTCCAGTTTCTACACCAATGGCAGCTACGCAAACACCCTCGCCAATTGATAGGGTTACGGTAGGTCCTATTCATTTCATGTAATTTGTCCATTTTGGAAGTTTTCTGTTCCCCTGGACCTAAAGTGCCGTTGTATCCTAAGGACTGGAATTGCGGAAAATTTTACTGTTCTTCATCGCAGACAATATTTCGACGTTCCAGGAGCAAACCAGAGAGGGTGTCCACTCTCCTCAACAACCCTCTTCTCGGTCATATGCGATCGAGACGGAATCTACTCAACAGGCAATGACTGATGACGCTGATGTGTCCGTTTCTATACATTTCCCATCAGAGCCTGCCAACAATCCACCCAGCGAAGCAGTGACGACACAGCCTTCTCGAACAACTCCCGATGTCTCAGCCACGAACGACACTACTCTTAGTCCTGTTGTAGTCCAAGCAACAAGCACACCGAATAACGCAGTACAAACGAACGACGAAAGGTTGGAAATATTCTTAGTCCAGGTTCTAGTATGTATATTTGCTGTGCTCGAAGCATTTATTCAAAGAAACTTTATAAGTAGTCCATGGATGAATTGTTATTGCCTAACGCCTGCTCAAAAGAACTTATGGCGCTCATGTCCCTAGGGGGAACACAAAACAGGGCTTTTAAAAACTGCTGGTGGGACACTAGGACTAAGCTCAGGAGAGGGGAGAAACAGTAGATGAAAGGCTGCTCACGTTCTCCATCAAAATCCCTTTCCCTACCTAAGGCTTTATCCCAAGTTGTGTAAGTGGCTCTTTCACAGCAATTCGCCTTTAACAACATGAGCGCCGGAGTTGCTGCAGTAACTCAAATAAATAGTCGTAGTGTGCATTGACGTAATGACTGCTCGGGCTTTCACAGTATGGGACTCACGGATGCAATATAAGGCTTCATAAAACGCTGCATTGTTATATGCGAGTGGATGAATTCGCGTTCCCCTTCTCTTAATTTATTTTACGCATTGTCGAG